ACGTATATATACTTTTGTTTTTATGATTCTATTTTAAGTAATTTTCTAATTTAACCCAAGTTGAATAAATGGTATATTGTTCATTTTAAGATAAAATATATTTAAGCAAATTATATTAATACAATTCTAATAACCTTATTGAATGGTATTTAGGCTCTATGCAAATTGGAGTAAAAAAGCCAAAATTTCCTGAAGGAACAGTGGGAACCTCATCATCATCATCAACTATTAGTGATGTTCAAATGTTTGAAGATGTTCAAATTGATAAGGTAGTCGAGAGAAATATGCCAATTCCAGGAAAATCTCCAATAGATCAATTCGAAACGGAAGAAACAAGAAAACTACCGACTAAGGAGTTGCAGCGGTTAGTTTTGCTCCACCAACTCAAAACAGCAAAACTGCAGCAAGATTATTACAGTAAAAAAATTCAATTGATGGAAAGCAAACTATTTAATGTAAACACAAATGACAAACAAACAAATATTGCTGTTGAAGGTGACAAATGTTATGCTATTTTGTAGTGAAAGTTGTATTATTGTTTGTACAGATTATAAATTAACATTTAGCTTAAAATAACATTTAATTATAAACTTGTTTAAGATTATTTAAAATATGTTTTGATGTGTGGGTTTTGTAACTTAATAAAATTGTCTTTCTTAAATCAATTGACTTATTATTTCAGCCAAGTTCCTTCTCACTGCTTGTCCTTCGTGACGCAGATGACTGATATCTCCATCACCCGCAATATCGCCCAAGTCTTCATCCTCTTCAAGGATATCCTCGTCGTGTTCAAAATCAGGGTCGCCTAATCTTTTTGCAATATTGTGCAACGCAACACAAGCAACTATGATTTTTGGTACTTTTTCAAGTTTGACACGACACACATACTGCAGTATTGGAAATCGCCGCTTCAGCTGCCCAAAACACCTTTCTATGACGACCCTTTCTTTTTTTAACAACTTATTAAATTTGCTTTCACTTTCGTTATCTAGAACTGAGAACGGTGCCATCAACCAAGGCTCTAAACCGTATCCGTCATCCCCTATTAGTACAGTGTTACGTGTTGTACGCATGACCTCTCTAACTGGAGAATTTTTCCAAATTCGGGCGTCATGTACGGAACCGGGCCAACTGACATCAACACTTGTGAACATCTCCTTGCTGTCACATGTCGCTTGAACATTAAGTGTAGGCTTGTTTTTGCGGTTGATGTATTCATCCCCATGAAGTCTTGGTTGTAATACTCCTACATGTGTACAATCAATCACTCCAATTGCTGTTGGGAATTGGTAATTATTTTGCCATGATTCCTTAGCCTGGATTAAAAGAGAAAAGATCCAGATGAAAGAGCGCCTCCTCGGGATTCATCAACCTGGCCTAAAAAGTAGTTTGATAACCACTGTACATTATTTTCTTCAAAGCGAAATAACATTTTAAAGTCTCTGGTTTGTGGGCTTTTTCGATCTTTGTAAAACTTAACCTCTCTTACGTTCACTACCTCTGCCATGTAGCACTAAACATCACCACACACCTTTTACTTCAACGTATAATCTGCTACTGACCAGATGCATCATGATTGAAGGATTTACTTCAAAGAAAAAGTAAATGGTGAGTTTTATTAATAACCATTTTCTCAAGTCATGAGCAAAACCTCAAATTTCTATAGATTACCTTTTACTTCTAAAGCAAAAGGTTTTGCTTTAGTTTTTATTAATACAGATTGAAGGATTTGCTCGAATTTTCGCAAGTAAAAGGTTTACCTCATCTTTATTAATACGGCTCAGTGTGTGGCATTTGACTCACTGGTAAAACATTCATTGGTCTTAGTTCGTAGAATTTGGATTTCGAAATTTGCTTATCCGGATGAAGCTGTTTGAAATCCTCGTAAAGCCGGGTTGACACGATAAAAGTTGACTAGGACCAAGTTGACTTGTACAAGTAGACTTGGTCCAAGTTTTAAATCAGCTGAGTTGACACTAAATCCAACTTGGATACTAGTAGATGCTATTAAAATGGCGGATTTAGTGTTGGAAGGGATTGATGCTGTTGCAGAAATGCTTATGATTGAGTTGAATGAGTACAAAAATCGTGTTAAAAGACATAAAAGAAAAATTTGGACAAGAGAGTGGATTTTGAGACGTAGTTTACAGGGTGCATCTGAGAATTTTCTTAGAGTTAATAACAATATCCTTCACAAGGACAGTAGAATTCCGACGGTTGAAGAGGAAATAACCAAATTTAGTACAAAATATCTAAAGAAGCTTGAAAATCACCCCAATCACCTGGCTCTAAACCTTTTGGACAACAGTACCAGTATAAAACAGGCTGAAAAGGATTCATGTCTTGGACCTAAGCTCACGTTTTGTTTGAACAATTTAATTTTCCCCTGTTTATTTACTTATTTATTTTTTCATTGAAATATTTTTAGTTAGATCTGCCAATGGACAGAGACTAACTAACGTTTTATAAATAATTGTTATTGTATTTGCTGAATGTCCAAAAAATGAACAGATTGTAAATAAAATTGTGAAAAAAAAAATTTGGCGGTTCCTTGAGTATACAAAGTGTTGAGGTTATGTTTGCAAGGTTTTAGGCCAAGTCAAGTAATATTACTGCAATGGAGCAAGACGAAGACGATTCAATTTGTAAAAGTAAAAGAAAACGCAAAAGTTATTGTAATAATACTAATTTAAAACGTGAAAGTGCCAAGACAAAACGTATTAAAAGTGAAGAGTATGTTTCCTGATCTGGAAAGACTGTAAGTGGTAAACAGTTCATGAATGTAGTTGAGTGCTGTAATGAGAAATGTTTTGATAAGTTTGCAGAAGGGCACCAGGTTGCACACATTGCACCACATTGCAATGGCATGTGATACATAAATTATGCCTTAAGTTTTCCTGTTAAGGCACCACATTGCATAAAACTACAAGAACAAGTTTACAAATTTACAGTTTACAGGTCCCTGTAATTACAATTTAACTATTAGAGGTGTTGCTAGAATAATTTGTATACTTGTAAGAACAAGTACAAAAATTGTAAACAGCTGATTACAATTTTACAATAAAATTAAATCGTTAACATGTGTTGTATTTTAGAAATGTAAATAAATAATAGTGTCTTGTTCTCTTACTACCATTAAAACTGTGTTAACTTTTTCTCTCTCTCATATTCTCAATTGCAATATCTCAATTTCTTTACATTTTACCCCTCTAGTCCTTCAACTATTTATCATTACTCCCGTTCTCATCTTATTTAATCTCAATTATTAACTTCACTTTCGTCCTTCTCTACTATTATACAGTTGTACTTCAAGCCCAATATTTGCATACTACGAATAATTCAACATCGTTTATTTCCTTTTTCATATATTTCATTTTGTAAAAGAAAGCACTTAGTAAAATGAATAATACAATTAGGAAGGGAGCGAGAATAGAAATTCTAAAACAGATTCGGGAAGAGAAAGATTTTTTATTCGGCCGATTTTAAAAATCTCGTTCATAAGATTCATAAGAAGGCGACGCCCTGGGACTTGTGCCTTATGAAAAAGAATACACATATACAAGAGACACGCTATGGCAAAACATAAGGAAAAACTCAATGGTAAGTGTGATAAAAAAATAGTAGTTTTTATAGTAGAAATCAGCCATTTTTCAATTTTTCTATCATACCGTGGATATAACCATCATTAAAATACTATAATATAAAGAGGACATAATTTGAGTTTAAGAAATGTTGACAAATTTGTGCAGTAATGCTTATTTTTTATTAGGTAGTTTGTATTAGTTTTGATTAACATATCATACTATAAAATTATTAAATGATAACAAAATATCAAAACAACTTTATTTACCTCTGTAATCTATTCGTTTCAATTAGTTAATAACCATTATAGTGTGTCAATAACAAATTTCGAGTTTAGCGGACCGAAAAGTTTACCATAGGTTTTTTTATGTTCCCTATTTCAAGGTACCAGGAAAGGGTGATTTCACAATTGTGAGAGTATATTTTAATTGTATCAACTGTTTAGTAGTTAGATTTAATACAAAAGTTTGATTTTTGATTTGCAGAAAAAATATGACAATGCAAGAACAACTGGGACAGGAGGCGGGCCGGAGTTCAAACTTACTGACACAGACATTCTAGTCAGTGAGACAATTGGAAAGGACAGTGAAGTGCTGACCGGCCTACCTGTCTCCGACACATGGGGGAACACCAACTCAGAAATAACTGCAGAACATGCAACATATGAAGAAGACGTTGATGATCCTGAGGCTACTAACAACCAAATTCCAGTTGAACGAAGTGAGAATAAAAAAATTATGAAAAAGAAGATGACCAACAAAGAAGAGGAGGAAGAGTTGAAATTAAAAAAACTCAAGTTGACACTGGAAATCATGGGGATGGAAAAATATGAACGTTCATTAAACATTTTAAAGCTTGAACGTGAACTAACATTGCCTCCATCAAAGTACACACAAAACTTTCCAATTGCGCAAAACTGTCATATGATTGTTGTTGACGATGAAACCCTTGAAAATGAGACCGAAGTGAGCTCACTTGACTATGAATAATGGTTTTTAAATGTTTTTAATAGAATACTTTAACTAGTTTAATGATTTTCTGTTTTTTATAGTTTTTTGTTAGTATATTAATGTCATTAATGTAATAGCCTAAATAAATAAATTCATACAAATAGATATGAGAATTACCTTCTTCTTATTCTCATATCTATTTGTATGAATTTATTTATTTATTACATTAATGACATTAATATACTAATTAAGTATATTATATATATATATATATATATATATATATATATGTATATATATATATTATATATATCTATCTGTGTAAGTTATTTCACAATACAGAAAACAAGCTTCAGTTTGATTAATGTGAAAACAGTCATATATTGGAGATTTAACGTAAAGGCAGTGTTCAGGCTATTGTCAATGTCTGAAGTGGTTGATTATTTCCTGCAACCTTACATTCCCGTCTCAGTCAAATTGTTCCACATTCACATTCTGTTCTTCTACGTCGTCTTCGACTTCGTTCTCATTTTCAACCACTTCAATCAAACCAGCACGCCGTGCGTAGTTGTATATGGCCACACAACACTTGAAAATTTCACATGCAAAAACAGGTTGCACTCGCAGGTGATTTAAACAAGGAAACTTCTCCTTTAGCTTGCCAAGGGAGTTTTCCACAATGCGCCTTGTACTCTTGTGTTTTCGGTTGTATCTTACAACAGCCGGATCTTCGAGGTTTACTCCGGTAGGCGTCATCAGCCAGTCAAGCAAGGGATACCCAGAGTCTCCTAACAGTACCCCTCCTTCAATAGGGCGCCAACCACCCTCCATTCTATGATAGAGCGTGCTATTCCTTAGGACTCTAGCGTCGTGAACGCTTCCAGGCCATCGGGCGCTTACATAGAAGAAAGAATAGTCTGGCCCACAAACCACCATGCAATTGATGGAGTGGTTATTCTTACGGTCAACATACTGTTGTTCATTTAAAACCGGAGCGTCTATGTTAATCAATGTTCCATCGATGCAACCAATTACAAGTGGCATTTCTGCAATTGCATGGAACCCTTGAACAACTTGTACTATGTCGTCAGGCCAATCAACCACCCTCGGAAAGAGAGTGTTGTTCACTGCTCTAACAAAGTTATGGACGGCACGACATACAGTCGATTTATGCACACCGTGCATGTCACTGAGGCCATGGTATTGGCTCCCATTGCCCATCCAAATGTAAGCCAATACATAAAACTTGTTTTGATGTTAGTGCATGGTTCCGTGCCGTTTCTCTTTCGAGGTTAGGATCTACTATTTCTAACATCTCTTCTAGTTTTTGAGGTGGCATTCGAAATCTTTCGTTAATTTCAAAAGCACTTTCAAAATTGAAATTCTTTCTCACCTTGAAGGTCCTTCTTCGGCGTTGTGGAGGCTCTTCATCGGAAGAATCATCACCATTCCACATTTTTGTCTTAAAAGACTAACTTGTACAATAGCAACAAAGGTTTACAGGCCAAAGAAACTAGGTAAAAAATTCTTACATTTTTACAGGTATATGTAAAATTGTAATAATTTTATTGGAAATACAAGTTTATACACCTGTAAAATTGTAAAAAAATGCCTGTAAATTTGGGTTTTTGAGTAGTTGTTACAAGTCTGTAACTTGTAGTTCTTGCAACACCTGTTATTACAATTTCTGAAGAATTCTTCAGAAATTTGCCTGTAAACTTGTAAAATTGTAAAATTGTAGTTTTATGCAATAGGCCCCAGGAGGAACTGTTTTCTTCATTTTTCTTCATTTTATAACCAAGGTAAAGAGCTGCAAGATTCATTTCTTTCCAAATGTATGATTAAAAAAGAAATAAAAAGTCTAAAAACTGGTGAACCTTAAAAGCCCCGTAATCATACTTGGGGTTACAGACTTAACGTGGGAGGTTTGGAAGTAGCTGTCTGCCAAGGTTTCTTGATAAAGCTATTACAAGTTACTATTAAAAGGTTGGTAATTATTTACCCTATTTACACTGGGATTTTATGTAATTTTGATATGTCTACTTACAGTATTTTTAACGCTGAATCCAAAAATGCAATCAGTTTTGGTCGGAGAGATTCCTAAGTGTCCGTACTGTTAAATAATTCATATAAAGCTTAAGTTTTGTTGATTTGTGAACATATTTGTGGTATGGACGAGTCCAAGTTCTAGTGGCGACTAACACAAAAAGGGGCGGAAGGTTTGTGGAGTGGAAACAGCTGGCAGTTGTTTACATTCGATACTAAACAGACAAAACCACACACGACATGTGAAAATCAGAATTCAATTTCTAAAAGCAGACGGACTTCTAAGACGTTCCGAAAATACAATTACACAAAAACAATAACTTAGGCCTACATGAACTATTAATAAAATCAACATTTATCATTAATCAATAAATGTAATTTTATTCTCGTAAAATGCAAGGATTTTTTAGCCTATACAATAACACGACCGCATCACCAATGCCAAATTGATACTGTCAACTGCCACTGTCACTGAATTGCTGTAATGTAGTTCGGTGGAACTATATTACAGGCTAACCAACCAATGGATTATTACGCTAAAATGCGCCCAGAAAATAGATCCAGATTAATAACATCTGCAATAGCAACTTATTCATTATCAAGTAAGTTTAATTATTGTTGCCGATTTAGATATTAGTAATGGCTGATATTTGCAATGCGTGTGACCAAAACTTGTATGAAACGGTTGTGTTCCATGATAATGAAATTAAAAGTTTTTTAATTAAGCGAGGGGTTTGTAAATAATGAAACGAATTGTCCGAGGTGTCATTCAAACATAAAATTGAACGATAAGTGGTTTTTCAGATGCTGGAACAGAGTTTCAATTAACAAGAAAAAAGCCAAAAGGTGTGATTGGGTGCGATCTTGCAGAGTAGACACTTTTTTCGGCAAATCCAGATTACAAATTCGTACGCTTTGGCGATTAGTCAATCATTATCTTTTTTTTTACCCACCCCGGCAAAAATTCCTGGAAACAAATCTCAATCTGTCAAGTAAAACTGTTGTCGATTGGTATTCGTTTATAAGAGAAGTGTACATTGACGATTGTGTAACAAATTCCGAAAGACTAGGCGGGCCAGGTGAGATTGTTGAAATAGATGAGGCGAAATTTGGTAAACGTAACTACAACCGAGGTAGGCGAGTGAAGGGAAACTGGGTGTTGGAGGGAGTGCAAAAAGATTACGTGCCGGAAGCGACCCAGCAAAAAGGTGCTACATAATCCCCGTTCCTGACCGCTCAAGGCGCACGCTAATTCGACTAATCCGCCGCTGGGTTTTGCACGGCAGTACGATTACTACTGACTGTTTGAAGTCGTACAGCAGATTGCGGGAGTACGGCTTCCAACATTTAACTGTGAACCACAGTACTGACTTTATTAATCCCGTCACGGGCGCACATACAAACCGAATTGAGCGGTGTTGGAGAGACGTTAGAGACCACATCCCCAAATACGGGGTGAGGTCCGAACATTTCATCGGGTACCTGGCGGAGTTCCAATTCAAAAAACGGTACCCTAACAACAAACGAGTCCACGCGTTTTATAAGGCCGCAGCAAAGCTGTATAGGCCAAAGTATTAAGCAAGGTAGGTTAAGTTAAAATATTTTCTGCATAAGTTACTGTAGTAGGAAAGTTAAAACTCATGTATTATATAACCTAACCCAACCCAACCTTAATATTGATATTTAAATCGCATTTTATGTCAGAAAAAGCATGTGAGGAAGATAGGTCGGACTTTATGCGGATTCGTGACTGTATTAAGTCCTTTGAAGTGAGGTTAGATTAGGTAAGATAAAGGTTAGGTTATAATGAACCGATTTATTAATTTATGCAACTTCCAGACTGTTTTTTAAGGGTAGTGCAAGGGAAAATTTTCAATGATCAGGATTTTCCAGAACGGAGAGACCATCGTTCAAACCAGCTCCAAAACCTGAAACCCAATGTTTTGGATTTGATGAAAACTCATTTAGAGTCGATTCCTCATTGTCAAAGCCATTACAATGGAAATACAACTTCTTGAAAGTACTTTGACAACCCAGAGTTGAACATAAAAACTATGTAGGATCGGTTGGGGTAAAACGGGTATGAAAACGAGCAAATTTCAATTTCTAGGCTAGATAAACAATGTTTTTTAATATTAAAAAAGATTTTATGGTTTAAGCTTGTCATTATGATCTCTTAGAATGGTTTAATATTTATTGTTAATAAATAAACTGTGTTATAAAAATGATTAACATTATTTATACTATACCTATTTTACCCCGTGGTTGGGGGAAAACGGGTATAGTACATGTTTTCTAAGTAAAACACAATAATAACAATAATTGAAGTACCTATTTTACCCCAATGTGTATGTGTAAAGTAGGTATATCAAGAAATAACTATTCATTAGAACACAAAAACATGTATTGTTACACTATCATTACAACACAAATTGGAAAAAACATCATGAAAATGAAAACGGTTCGTTTGTTGGCCTAGACACTTCACACGAACTTGAAAAATCGACCGTTGTAGTCTGGAACAGAAAATGCGTTGGAAATTCGTCCAACATTCAGTCTACCACCAAAGTGGACAGCATTAAATCCAATCTACGTTAGCAATCAAATCCCTCTAGCAAAGGTTCAGGAGGAAGAGCCTTGGTTTGTTCCGGACGAAAGGCTAGCCGATATTGAGCTAACTCCATCCTTGTCATATGTGCACGGCTTGCATGATGCATTTTAAGAGGAAGTCCTACAGAAAATCCAAAAGTTCCTTTTGGGTAGAGGAGAGGTTAGGTGAATGGTTCTACTCGGCTGTCAATGTTCTTGAGCGTTATTAAGTGTTTTCCTCGCTGCTCAATAACCATTTCATTTTCCGGGATGCATTTAATGGATTTTGTGTTCTTATGGTGTGTTTCATTAGCATTAGTCATTTGACTAAGATGCCTCGAAGAGATCGGGCACACAATGAAAATAATAGGTCACGCGCTGGAAGTAGTAGCTATATTATGAGACATAATCGTTTCCAACCTTATCACTATATATTTATATCACTATACCGGGTGTCCAAAACCACCCGTACACCCTTTTAAAAACGAGGGAAACCTTTTCTTTCAAACAACAAATAATACAGAACTATATAAATTGGGCACGGTCTACCAAATGGTGATATTTTCAAATCCAAAATCACACCACAAGTGGCTTTTTCAGACAGGAAGTTGACTTTTTTAAATGTAAACTACCAATTTTTATTACGGAATCGGATTCTACGTTAAAAAATACATAACTTTTGTCTAAAACAATCTTTGAAAAAAAACTTGTTTTCTACCTCTAATCCTCCATTAAAATCAATAATTTTGAGTCATTCATCTGTCAAAGTTACTCGAAACAATAATAGAGAAAAACAAATAACAAAGATTACATAAAGACATATTATGAATAGAATCAGCTGTTTATTGTAAAAACCTTAGTAATTGAGTAACAGCTGGTCTATACATTGCTTAATTTGATTTTTTTTAAATCATTTGTTTTTACATTTGACTACTTTAATATAAAAACAAATTATTTATTTTTAAAATAAAATGAAATCAAGCAATGTGTAGACCAGCTGTTACTCAATCACTATAGTGTTTACAATGAACAGCTGATTCTTTTTATCACATGTCTTTATGTAATCTTTATTATTTGTTTATCTCTATTATTGTTTCAATCAACTTTGGCAGATGAATTACCCAAAATTATTGACTTTAATAGGGAATTAGAGATAGAAAACAAGTTTTTTTCAAAAGTGTTTTAGACAAAAGTTATGTATTTTTCAACGTAGAATCCGATTCTGTAATAAAAATTGGTAGCTTACATTTAAAAAAGTCAACTTCCGGTCTAAAAAAGCCACTTCCGGTGCGATTTTGGATTTGAAATTATCACCATTTGGTAGACCGTACCCAGTTTAGCTAGTTCTGTATTATTTTTTGTTTGTAAGAAAAGGTTTCCATCGTTTTTAAAGGGGTGTACGGGTGGTTTTGGACACCCGGTATATCACCGATTTTGAAGTCACGAAGTGGCGCAGGCTGCTAGTCAGTTTTTAAATTGTTTTTACGACATTTTCAGACATATCGATAAGCGATGGAATCGCTCCTGAACAGAGGACTAGAACTCGTAACAGAGATCCCCCAATACGAAATCTTTAAGACGTCCTT